CCATTTCTTATCACTTCAACAGCTACTACTATTCTCCTAGCCCCCTCTTGTCTCTCATCTGGCATGTTGCAGGAGGCTTCTAATAGGCTGCTTCTTCACCACTCTCTGACACTTCCATCTTCCACAGTGCAGATGATCTTATTAAAATATAAGTTAGAGAATACCTGCCTCTGCTCAAAACTCACCAGCAACTTCTCATATCAGAGTAAAAGCTGAAGCCCTTATGCTGGCCTCTATAACATTGCTACTTTTCAGTCTGCTAAAGAAGCAATTTTGTTTTCTTTTAATTTCTAGTTTGAATTAGATCAATACTTTACAAAAGTATAAAAATGAGTTACTACAGAGGCACCTGAGTGGCTCAGTTGGTTAAGCAACCAACTCTTGATTTCGGCTCAGGTCATGATTTCAGGGTCATGAGATTGAACCCTTCCACCCCCACCATCTGGCATGGGCTCCACGCTCAGCACAAACTCTGCTGTCCCTCTCCCTCCGCCCCTCCCACACCCCTCCTTGAACTAACACGCACTTGCACACGCTCTCTCTCTCTCTCTCTCAAATAAATAAAATCTTTTTAAAAAAGTGAGTTACTACAGAGAGAAATTCCTCTGGTCATGAAGTAACTGATGTCAGATTAGTTCTCCCACTATAAACTTCTAGAAAACTATTCTAACTAAAGCAACTGTTTTCAGAAATTAGTAAGTAGGGCAGGACTGTTCTCTGAGAGAAGGGAAATAAATGAGGAGAGCCCTATGATTGCCCAGGCTTTCTACTGGGAGGCATTTACTAAAGTCTAGTGCTGGAGACAAAGCAGGGTAAGCCCTATTTGCTGAGAATAAGAAGAGAGAGATTGGGGTTTGGGGAGGCTGGAATTTGCCAAGAGGGAATGAAGCATGCAGAGAAAGAGCTCCCTAAACCTGCATACAGGTCTCTTCCATCTTTGGCTGAAAACTAAGCTGCATTTGTGTAGAATGAGATTTCACAAGACCACCAAAGAACGACTACCTGCGAAAGAACAAGTCCCAGGGATTTGAAAGTGGAACAGCTACTCAAGTGCAGCCTGTTTTTGGGTTCCAACCAACCAGAGTAGAGACATCATCCAACACTGGGGGCATTCAATAAAGACCCCAGAAAGGCCATACTTTAGGAGCAGGGTGAAAATAGCCCTAGATAAAAGTTACCCTAGATCTGCACTAATGAAACTTTAATACAGGCCTCAAAAGGACCAGCCTGTCCAAAAGTAAATTAATTACTAGATTCTTTAGAAGAAGACAACAAAATCCAGACATTCAACAACATAATCCTCACAATTTCCATCATCCAGTGAAAATTTAGAGGACATAGGAAGCAGCCAGAAAGTATGTTCTGTGACCTGAATAAAATTAGTCAGTATAAACAGATCCAGAAATAACAGGCATGATGCAATGAACAGAGATGGACTTTAAAACAGCCACATTAGGGGAACCGGGGTGCTCAGTCAGTTAAGTGTCTGCTTTTGGCTCACGTCATGATCTCCAGGTCCTGGAATTGACTCAGCCCGGAGTCTACTTCTCTCTCTCTCCCTCTGCCTGCCCTCCCTGCTTGTTCTCTCTCTCTCTCAAATAAATAAAAATCTTTTTGTTTTGTTTTGTTTTTTATTTTATTATGGTATGTTAGTCACCATATAATACATTATTAGTTCTTGATGTAGTGATCCATGATTCATCATTCTTGTATAACACCCAGTGCTCCATGCAGTACGTGCCCTCCTTAATACCCATCACCCGACTAAACTATCCCCCCACCCCCCTCCCCTCTAAAACCCTCAATTTGTTTCCCGGAGTCCATAGTCTCTCATGGTTCATCTTCCCCCCTGATTCCGCCCCCTTCATTTTCCCCTTCCTTCTAATGTCTTCCATGCCATTCCTTATGTTCCACAAATAAGTGAAACCATAGGATAATTGACTTTCTTTGCTTGACTTATTTCACATAGCATGATCTCCTCCAGTCCCATCCATGTTGATGTAAAAGTTGGGTATTCATCTTTTCTGATGGCTGAGTAATATTCCATTGTATATATGGACCACATCTTCTTTGTCCATCCATCTGTTGAAGGGCATCTCGGTTCTTTCCACAGTTTGGCTACCACAATACCCAAACTGTGCAATAGTCAAATAAATAAAAATCTTAAAAAAACCCAAAAACCAGTCACACTAAATACTAAAAATGTAAAGGAAAATATTAGCATAATGAGGAAAAAAATGGAAATAAAAAGGAACCAACTATAAACATAATTGGAAGTTTCTGCATATATATTCTACTTCAGTGACAAAAAGTTTTAAATTAAAAAATAGAACTTCTAGAGTTGAAAGAGATAATACCCAAAATGAAAAAGTCAGTGGATGGACTTAACAGTATATCAGAAATTACAGAAGAAAAAGTCCACTGAACTTAAAGACATAGCAATACAAACTATCCAAAATGCAATGCTGAAAAATGAACAGAGCCTTCAAGACTTATGGGACAATGGCAAACAGCCTAACAGAGGGAGGAGAGAAAAATCATTTCAGGAAATATTTTTTTCCAAATTTCCAAATAAATTTTTACTAATTTGATGAAAACTATAAACCCGTAGCTACAAGAAGCTCAACAAACTATAATCAGGATAAAAAGAAAACCATACCAAGGCATATCACAGTCAAATTGCTGAAAGCCAGTGATGAAGAAAAAGTATTAAAAGCAGCTAGAGGAAAAAATATGTTATATACAGGGGGGAAAAAGATAAGATTTTTGAAGTGATTTCTCATTAAAAACAATGCACTTGGGGTGCCTGGGTGGCTCAGTCGGGTAAGCATCTGCCTTCACTGAGGTCATGATCCCAGGGTCCTGGGATCAAGCCCCACATCAGGCTCCCTGCTCAGTGGGGAGTCTGCTTCTCCCTCTGCCTGCCACTCCCCTTGCTTGTGCTTGTGCTGTCTCTCTCCAGTAAATAATAAAATCTTTAAAAAAAAAAATGCATGCTAGCAGAAAATTGAATGGCATTTGAAAGTAGTGAGAGAAACTGTTTTTACTCCTTCTAAAATATATAGATTTCCTAGCTTTATCCACTGAAAAGTTCTAGAAGCAGTGATCGTCCAGGAACAAGGAGCACCCTAGAACCCTAACTGTGGTCTCTAAACACTCTTTCCTAGTAAAGGGAACCTGCAATCCTTGAAGGAATAGTTGATTCCAAGTGTGGGGCAGACATACACAAGATAGGACTGGCATCTTACCAACCAAGTGGGTCATCTGTGCCAACCAGGGAAGCTAATGATATCTAATGGATCTATTAGATTAACACAGGAGCCTACTTACAGGAGCTCCCACTGGCCAAAGATAGGACAATTTGAACATCAAAACGATGATTATAATGGATTGAGGTAATCAGATACATAAGAATCTATGAGTTCCTATAAAAAAGAAAACTCCTTGGTAACCATTGGAGGTTGCTAGGGCACTAATTCATTGTTCTGAAATTTGTTAAATAGTAAGAAATGCCAAACATTTGTTTTACCTTTTCTGAATGATCAATATCTCAAGATAAACAAATAGAGAAAACTAATAAATGCAGAAAAAATGATAAAATTGGAAACCGGATCTTGAATCTAGGCAAATCATTAGTAAATGCTAAAGCCATTAGGTGAAAAGTTGATGGGGGACTTTTTAATGGAGAGATGTAACCAATAACATCTGAATCCACTGATTAATATTTATATTCCATTGTGTGCCCCCATTTGATTTTTAAGTGCACCATATTACCTACGACAGATTCTAGCCCCTTCTCAAAAAATGAAACGAAAACAAAAACTTTAATCAAATCTCTAGCTCTAGCCACAGGGGGTAAAGAAACAAATGGCACCAAGGAAACAGTCACATCCAGAATGTAGGGTATGCCACTAGATAACTTGCTTTCTTCACAAATAAATGACATGACAGAAACAAGGAAAAGGAAGAACTGTTTTAGATTAAAAACAGAAACATATCAACCAGATGCAGTGTGTGTGGACCTTGTTGGAATCTTGATTCTAAATGTAGATGGATATTTTTTAAGATCTGAGGAAATTTTCAGATGGACTGAGTTAAAATTTTCTTAATTTTTTTTAGGTGTGATGATGGCATTGTGGTTATGTAAATTAAGCTTTCTCAAATGAAATAATAAATTGTCTGGGATTTGCTCCAGCCACCTCATTCTAGACAAAAAGTTGAGTGAAGGAAGAATAGATTCAATAAGTTGACAAAATTTTGGTTTTTGTTGAAGTTTGGTGATGGGTACATGAAAAGTAGTCATTAGTTTACTCTCCATTTTGTGCATGTTTTAACATTTTTGGAATAAAACACTTTTTTTTAGAAACTCTTTTGCTTAAGGACCGTCTGAATGTCTATAAAAGAGTCTCACTCAGAATGTATACAGTGTTGTCTTACGATAAGGAACAATTCTGACAAGTTTGGTTTAAGTATCAGTTTTATGGGAGAAAATAGAATGATGCTAAAGGCAGTAAGTATCCTTATAGAAATAAAAGGGTTTAACTGGTATCATGAGATAACACTGAAAATTCTTTACATGTAGACAAAAGCTATAAAAGCATTAGGGGGCATTTGGTGATGTTAAATAGACCCACTCTGTTTTCCTGCCATTGGGCATTCCCTAAAAGGTGCATCCATCTCAGAGCCCAGAACGTGGATAAGACTGATGGGCAAGGCTTCTTGGTGACCCCTCCTTGGTTTCCCCTGCTCAGATGCTGATGTGTCAGTCACCCAAGGCTGTTTCCTAAGAGACTGCTTTTGTTCAAAGGATTGGTGAAATGTATTTTCTATGGTCTAACACCATATTCCATTATGCATTGTGGTTTTTTATTGTTTTCCTTATCATGATTTATTATTTTTTTCTATTTTTCTTTTGAAGTTTGCCCATTTTAATCCATGTTCATTTTTCGCTCTGTATGTGTTTGTGTTGTGCTTGGTGTCTTTGCCTCCGTTGTTCCTAGGTTACAGTATAGCCAGGACATACCCAGTCACTTGGCCGATGAGCATGCGCTGATAGCCTCCTATGTGGCCCGTCTGCAACACTGTGCACGGTCAGTGGTAGAGCAGCGGCAGCAGGCCGGTCACCAAGGGCTGATCAGAGGGAGGGAGAGCTGTGTTACCTGGGCTTGCCAGCTGGAAAAAGCTCTGCGTGTGGGGTTTTTCTTGAGAAGCTACCAGCTATGTTTGGCAGAGTTTAAATAATTGCTAAAGCATTAACTTCTAAAACAGAAGGAGCCTTGCCAAGCCTGGGCACTTACCTAAACATATAGTCAGAAATGCTGTTTTAAGGTGGAATTCACTTCCTTCACCTTACACTTAAAGGCTATGTAAATCTCAAACATACGCAGTCCCAAAGATGTACATTCACAGAGCTGTTTGATGCAATCGTTTACTGCTCATTCTTGTCTAAATAATGAAACCTTTCTACTGATATTCAGAGCATAGGGTTAATCAACCCACAGATATGTCACTTTGTCTAATCTTTGATACCATCACCCTGTAACATCTTTGCATGTTACAACTTCATCTCTTCCCCCCCAATCTATCGTTGATTATTTAAACCAGTGGTTTGCAATAGTGGTGTTGGATCATTGTCACCTGAGGGAGACTTTTCCCAAACAATATGTACCTCCACATGTGATAATTATACTTAATATAATAACTCCATATTCCCCTTTCTCTGAAAACAACTGGTAGTGACTCACTGTTAATGTGGGAATATGCCTGGTTCCTCAGTGGGTTAGGATAGAAAAACTTTTGATAACCACTAACTACAACAAAGTTAACCCTTTAAAACAAAGTGCTATTGCATTCAGGTAGACCCAGGGCTACCTGTCCACTCTGTGTCCGTACCCACCACCATTCTGCAAGGAGAATAGCAGGTCAAGTTTATATAATCTAAAGCCATCCCTCCACTCTACATAGCAGCGGATAGATACTTATTCTTAGAGAGGAAGCGTAATTTATTAACTAAGCACATAAGAGAGTCTGGAGCCTTACATTTTGATCTTAGTTTTGCCCAGAACATGCCTTGGCTCCGTGAGAAGGTGATTTGACCTTGGTTTTATTTCCTGTGATAACAAGAATAAATAATGTGAAAAAATATATATTTGGAAAGGACTGTTTTCTATATTATACTTCATACCATTTCCCATAGTTTTGCCAGTGTGACTAAATAGCTTTGATATTTTTAGGCTTTTATTTAACTTTAAAGTTTACTTTCCTACTTCTCAAGTATGTTTAATAGGCTTTTCCTATGGGAGGGAAGGAAAGGCCTGATAATTGTGCATCATATCACCAAGAGTGCCTCTTCAGCCAACAGATGATTTCTGTGCAGTCTGTCCCAGCTCCTTGGGTCTCTAGGAATAGAGTTGTCTCATCCCTGGCAGGACAGCTTACTTATTATCAGTAAGGGCAATTGTCCAGGTGATTAAAAATTTCCATAGTGAAAATAGAAGCAGAGTGTTGGCAGAGACTGCAACCTGATATTTCAGCCCCAAAAGATTTATGGGAGGTTTAGCTAAGGTCCTCAAGCGTCCTGGCTTGGGGATTAGGCTTCCTGAGCAAGAACTGGTGGCTGGGAGCCCTGGGAGAACATGAGGATTGGGTGAGTACTGCATCTCTTCTTGATTTATAGTCTAAGGAACTGAGCTTCATGCTTCCTCAAAGAAGTCAGAAATTTCCTGGCTAATTCTGAAAATGAAAGTCCGCTCAAGCAGAAAAATAAGGAACCTTTCTAATTTTCCTCTTAATTTTCATTGACCTTAAAACCTCTCATCAACATAAAGTTCTAGTTTCTGGTTGGAAAGCATAGCCAATTAAAACAACCATGTCGTCCACACTTGGGTGTAAATGACAAGTAGAATTAACCTTCCTAGGGAGATGGAACATGATGGAGGAGAGGGAGATTTTTGCAGAGAGGAAAAAATGGAAGTTTTTGTTATATCCCTTGCCAAAACAAAGGGCAGTCACTTTAAGTCCCATTTCTTAGGTTGTCAGTCCCTCTATAATATTATCCACTTGTATAATGTTCATTTTTGTTTTTGTTTTTTTTAAAGATAAAGGTAGTTCTCTTATTTCCAACAAACAACTTTAAGGCACAAATATTACAGTTCAGCCTTGACCTTGGGGCCTTGACCCTAATGTATTAAAGCCAATTGATGGTAGCATGTTCTTACTACAAAATCATCTCATGAGAGGATGATGATACAGACTGACATTTGCATACCTAAAATTATAAAGTATTCAGAAGTGGCACAGGCAGAAGAAGTACATTAAAAAAAAAAATCCATCCTCGAGGAAAGACCAAGTTAAGCTTAAAGAATTAGCCACAACGATAGAAATATAGAAAGGTGAAAAAAATCTAGGAAAAATACAGTCGATTCTATACATGAAAAGGTCAGACACATTTCTATCAATTTAACTTCACCCTTCCCAGACTCCCCCCCTCCCCAGTAATTATTACAAGATTTGACGAGTATTGAACTCATGTCTTTAAATTTTTTCTTATTACTCATCATGTTGCTAAATTCCATTCAGAGGTTTTTGGAACACCAGGAACCAAGGGCCAAAGTAGAGACAGGCCATGACAGCATCTTGGGTCGGTTGTCATCACCACTGTTATCTTAAAGCATCTGCCAGACTTAAACAGAATTCTATAGCTACAGTCCCCATTAATCTAGGACTGCCCTGCTATGGATAAATGACAGTTGATGTAACATGCTAAACTAAAGGAGTCCATTATTTCATAATCCAGTCAAAAGGTCATTGCATCACATATACACAGAGCTAGCCTACTACTCTAGAACACTTCCTTCATCCAGGTGCAGCAGTATCTGATATCCCACGTAGGTCTTAAAGACCTTAAAGTTAAGGTGCTGGTACTCTTGTGAAAGAGTAATGGAATAAATTAATTCACTCTAAGATGGGGCTCTAATTGTGGAACAAACATGGTGAAAGAAGAGAAAGACACATTGAAAGGGAATGTTTGATACCATGGATTCTTCTCCAGCTTCACCATATGTTGGACGTGCCCTTGCCTGGGCTCCTCAGTTTTGTTCAGCCAGTGTTAAGTGTACTTTTCTTTAGCCCTCTGTTTTTCATGATGCTTTAGTTTTCTCTTGATCTTTTTAAATTCAAGACCTATGTCTAAAAGTTATGAGTTTTTCCAAAATATTTGATTAGAAATCCCCCCTCAGACTTTGCAGATGCTCTGTCTTTTCTTGGACCTTGCATTCAAAAAGAAGTGACCCTTCTTATGGCGTAGGAGCCGGGGGGATGATGCTGAAAAGAAAGGGCATGTATGGTCTCTTCATTTCTCTATAAACCACCACTCAGAAGACCATTAGTATCTATGACCCAGGCCTCTTGTTTCTTTTGCTGCCATAATTTTTTATAAGCTTTCTCCCATCTGTTCTTTCTAAGAGAAAAGCAAGGGTAGGGAATGTTTAATAGACACCTGTTGAATTTTTTGTCTCTTTGGCAGTGTCCTGGACAGTCCAAGCCGACTGGATGAGGAACACCGACTTATAGCTCGCTATGCTGCCCGGCTGGCTGCAGAAGCAGGAAATATGGTGAGTAAATGAAAGGTCCTAGGAGAGTAGCAGAAATTAGCATTATTTTAATATACAAATAGTAGGTGATAGTAAACATGAAACTTAGAAGAATAGGTACCTCAGGAACAGAAAGAGAGGAGTGGGTTTAGGGAAGGGATTATAGTGGCCTTTAATTTTATCTACAGTATCCTCTTTAAAAAAAAAAAAAATGAATCAAGAAAATCAAAGAGGGGCGCCTGGGTGGCTCAGTTGTTAAGCGTCTGCCTTTGGCTCAGGTCATGATCCCAGGGTCCTGGGATGGAGCCCCGCATCAGGCTCCCTGCTCAGCGGGAAGCCTGCTTCTCCCTCTCCCACTCCACCTGCTTGTGTTCCCTCTCGCTGTGTCTGTCTCTATCACATAAATAAATAAAATCTTAAAAAAAGAAAAAGAAGAAGAAGAAAATCAAAGAGCTAGAATTTGGTTCTTTAAAAAGCAATAAAATTAATTACCCCCTAGAAATCCTGATCAAGAAAAAAGGAAAGAAGGGCGCCTGGGTGGCTCAGTTGGTTAAGCAACTGCCTTCGGCTCAGGTCATGATCCTGGAGTCCCGGGATTGAGTCCCGCATCGGGCTCCCTGCTCAGCGGGGAGTCTGCTTCTCCCTCTGACCCTCTTCCCTCTCGTGCTCTCTATCTCTCATTCTCTCTCTCTCTCAAATGAATAAATAAAATCTTTAAAAAAAAAAAAAGGAAAGAAAATACAAATTACTAATATCACAAATGAAAGAAAGGACATTGCTACAGATCCTATAGTTATTATAAGGATGATAAGGGAATATTGTGAGCAACTTTTTGCCAATAAATTTGGCAACCTAGATGAAACAAACAAATTCCTTGAAAGATACAAATTAGGGTTGTCTGGCTGGTTCAGTCAGTAGAGTATGCAACTCTTGATCTTGAAGTTGTGGGTCAAGCTGCATGTGGGGTATAGGATCTTTTTTAAAAAATGACACAAATTAACAAAACTGACTTAAGAATAAATAGAAAATCTAAATAGTCCTAAATCTGTTAAGGAAATTGAATTTGTAATTAACTTCCCACAAAGAAAACTCTAAGCTCAGAGGGCTTAACTGTTGAATATTATCATATATTTAAGGAAGAAATAATAACAATCTGACATAAATTCTCAATAAATAGAGGAAGAAGGAACACTTTCCAAGTCATTTTATCAGGCTACTCTAGACCTGATATAAAAACAAAAAAGGCCATTACAAGAAAATAAAATCCATAATCAAATTCTCTCATGAACATGGATGAAAAAACCTTTAACAAAATATTACCAAATTGAATTTGGCAATATGTAAAAAGGATAGTACTCCATGGTCAAGTGAGATTTGTCCTAGGAGTACAGATTCATTTAATACATAAAAATCAGCCAACGTATTTCACCATATTAGCAGTTTAAAAAAGAAAATTATAAGATCATTTCAATAGGTGCAGAAAAAATATTTGACAATAAGTGCCCATTTATGATAACATTTCTCAATATACTAGGAGTCAAAGAAGCGTCTTCAGTCTGATAAAGAACATCTACAAAAAAACCTACAGCTAATATTATACTGAAAGGTTAAATTTTGGAGTATTTCCTACCTAATATTGAGAACAAGCAAGGGTGTCCACTTTTCACCACCTCTATTCAAAATTGTACTGGAGGTCTCAGCCAGTACAACGTGACAAGAAGGAAAGGGCATAAATGTTGGAAAGGAAGAAGTAAAGCTGTCCTATTTGCAGACAACATGATTAGGTAGAGACAGTCCTCAGGAATCTACAAAAACACTCCTAGAACAGATACATGACTTTAGGGCAATGTTGCAGGATACAAAGTCAATGTACAAAAATTGATTATATTTCCATCTATAGCAGTGAGTAATTAGAAAACTAAATTTAGGAAAAACGCCATTTACTATGAGATTAAAAAAATCAAATACTTATGGATAAATTTAATGAAAGATGTTAAGACTATTGCCGAGAGGAATTAAAGAAAACCTAAATAAGTGGAGAGGTTTGCCATGGGATATTCACATTTAATATAGTTAGGATGGCAGATTTTTCCAAATTTATCTATAGATTCAATACCAGTCAAAATACCAATAAACTTTGAAGAAATTGGCCAACTGATTTTATTTTTATTTTTTATTTTTTATTTTTTTTTAGATTTTATTTATTAGAGAGAGAGAGACAGAGATAGTGAAAGAGAGCACAAGTGGGAAGGAGAGGGAGAAGCAGGCTCCCCACAGAGCAAAGAGCCTGATGTGGGACTCGATCCCGGGACTCCGGGATCATGACCTGAGCCGAAGGCAGACACTTAACCGACTGAGCCACCCAGACGCCCTGGCCAACTGATTTTAAAATGTATTTGGAAACCAGAGGACTTAGAAAAACCAAGTCTTTAAAAAGAGCAAAGTTGAAGGACTTAATAACTCTACTTGACTTACAAAAAGCCACAGTAATCAAGAAAGTGTGATATTGGCAAAAGGATAGACAAGTCATCCATACAGTAAACCCACCATGTTTAAGGTCAAATGACTTTTTTTTTTTACAAGGCACAAAAGAAATTCAGTTGGGAAAGGAAAATCCTTTTAACAAGTGCTTCTGGAACAACTGTATATTTATATGAAATAAAGGAACCTCAACCTCTTCCTCATACTTTACATAGAAACCAGTTTGAAATGTATCATAAATTTAAACATAAAAGCTAAAACCATAAAGCTACTAAAAGCAGGCTTTTAGTATCTTTAAAATATCTTCATGTCTTTGGAGCAGGCAAAGAATTCTTAGAGGAATCATGAACCATTAAAAACTGGTAAGTTGGACCTTATTGAAAATAAATTCTTTCCTCATTAAAAGATACTATTAAAAAAATAGACAAAGCACAACCTGAAAAAAAATATTTGCAACACATGTCTGACAAAGGACAAACTATGTAACGAATTCCTGCACCTCAAATTCCTGCCCAAATTTTAAATGGTCTAAAGACTTGGACAGACACTTCACAGAAGAAGATATACAAATGGGCAATAAGCACATAAAAAGGTGCTTGGTATCATTAATCATCAGGAAAATGCCAGTTAAAACCATAATGACCCACTAGAATGACTACAGTGAAAAAGATTGACAACATCAATTGTTGGAGATGAGGTGGAGCAAATGGAATTTTCATACATCGCATACCTAAAGTACGTACAATTTGATTCCATGTACATAAAATTCTAGAATAGGTAAAATTGATTTATAGTGATGGAAATCGCACCAGGGACTGTTTCTGGGAATGGGATTATTGAATAAAGGTAAGGAAACTTCCTGGATTGATGGAAACGTTCTGCATTTTTATAGAGGTGTGTGTTACGTGAGTTGTATGTATTTGTCGAGACCGATTGGATGGCATACTTAGGATATGAGCATTATATCTCAATTAAAAGAAAAAGGAACCAAGAATGGTGAATATGTAAGTTTGATTGCATTGAGAAATGGCTACCCAAGGATTTGCCATGGGTTTACTGTAATTTTGAAATAATTTATAATAAAATGTTCTTTTTTTCTTTCATTTCAGCCCTTTACTTTCCTTGAAGAGTTATGTGCATATTAATATCCATTTCCCCTTCCCTCCGTCATGTTTGTATTCATTTGGCAAATATTTATTTTGTTCCTATGATGTGCCAGATTGGATACTATGATGAACAAATGATTCCTGCCCTCATGGAACTAACAGTCTAGTGAGAGAGACAAACAGTAAACAAATACACTGTTAAACTTAAATAACTATAGGGGCTCCTGGTGGCTCAGTCGGTTAAGCATCTGACTCTTGGTTTCAGCTCAGGTCGTGATCTCAGGGTCCTGGGATAGAGCCCCGCATCAGGCTCCCCACGCAGCAGGGGAGTCTCTTTCTCTCTCTCTCCCTCTGTCCCTCCTCCCACTCGTGCTCTCTCTCTTTCTGAAATAAATAAAATATTAAAAAAAATAAAAAAAACAATTACGAATAATTAGGTGCACTGGAGGAAAAATAGAAGGAACTATGAAAATGGATAGCAGGTCCCTGACATACACTGTATGGCCTCTGTGAGAAAGTGTTACTTGTGTTGAGATGTGAAGATAAGAGAATTCATTTTCCTGAGAACTAAAAAGGACTGAAACCCAAAGCAGCCCCTGGGCCACTGTTGCTGCCACTCCTGCCCTATGCTTAGGTTTTAATTGTCTTGAGGTGCAGTGGGCAAAACCTTGTATGTACGCAAAGTGGAGAGTTGGAAATGAGGCTTTCACATTAAGCCAGGCCCCTGAAAGCATTATAACCTGGTGAAGGTACGGTGTAGAAGACCATCCATCTGCCAACACAAAGATAGGACAAGAAAGCTTTAGGTTCTCCTCCTTTTGGAGTGGAAGAGGTCTCCCCTGGGGATTCACAATCTTAGTCCTGTCTGTACTTGTGTTGGGTGCATTTACATTACTTCATAGATTGAGAAACACCAAAGTAAAATTTTAATATAAAATTAATCCTACGGCGTTGAGGAGAAGCAAAATATAAATCCTCTCCTGAGGTTAACATTCTCAATTGAGGCCAAGCAGTGATTCCCACAGAAAGAGTCCAACTAAACACGAACTCCTGAGTATCTCTGTAAAATTAGACCCTCGGTGACTTTAGATACTAGAATCATTGGCTGTAGAATAACTATGTTTAAAATTTCTTCAGACCTGAGGTGCGCCTGTGTGGCTCAGTCATTAAGTGTCTGCCTTCGGCTCAGGTCATGATCCCAGGGTCCTGGGATCGAGCCCCGCGTCAGGCTCCCTGCTCTGCGGGAAGCCTGCTTCTCCCTCTCCCACTCCCCCTGCTTGTGTTCCCTCTCTCGCTGTGTCTCTCTCTGTCAAATAAATAAAATCTTTAAAAATAAATAAAATTTCTTCGGACCTGAAAGAAGGAATTAAAAACATGATAAAAGACTATCTAAAGAGACTGGAGATGAAAACAAACCAAATAGAACATAAACAT